CACTTTACCGTTTGGGCGGCAGCTGGAAATGTTTATTAATTTACGATAGGTTAAATTTGGGGAGGATAATTAGTTGACGCATTTACTTCAAAAACTCCCAGACTTATGAATTATTCTATGAAGAGCATTATAAATATAAAAGCGAGCAGATAAATTTAACTTTAATACAGTAGCTAATGTAAAACAAAAAAAAAAAAAAGATCTAGTTCCTCTGCTAGTGGCTTTCACCCTGTAGCACATCCTGTGCTACAGTTATATTTGAAATTCGCATGTAAAAGCAAATTTAAAATCTAACTGTACAGCTGATTAGCATGCACGATGTACAAAAACAAATTGTATCTCTCTTAATTCTAGCAAGTAGGAGCTTCAAGACCAAATTTTCTTCAAGAATCTATTCCTGACAAGAATTTGTAAGCATAAATTACTAATTTGAGGGAAGGAGACACACATTGCACGAACGTATATATCAGGTACTGGCTTTTGAACTGTGACTTGGGAGCTCTTTGCGGCCCTTTGGCCTCTTAAATACGTCTTAGAATAAAGAGTAATTTAAAATTTTGCAGAGAGTTCGGTAACTTAAAACGTAATACCGTATATTTATTCAAATATGAGACCCCCAAATATGAGACTAGATTTTTGTTCTAAAACTTGGTAGGATCTTATAATTTGTTATTCTAATAAATGAATTTTCAGAATGATTTGGTTTATTTGATGAGCAGAAAGCGCATGAGAGCTATCTGCCCATGAGAGCAGCTACCTGCCATGCTCTCGTGGAGCACTTTCTGCCATAACTGGCTCCTATTCACGTTACTCATGGGAAAAACCACGAAAACGATAATGCAGCTAGCCGTTCTCCTGAAATCAGGTCTAACTACCAGTCTGCAGTACCGCTTGGCCGATGATGAGCCAATTTAGAAAATGAGAGGAAGAAGTTTGATTACTGTATTATATAAAAAAGTTACACTATTTAATTAGTAAATAAGCCTCACAGATAATTATTCTATATCTAATTTCCATAACTACCGCTAATTACTATAACCACGCCCTACTTGGCCTATTTTAGTTTAGGTCTACATCCATTAAATTATTTACTGGGATTCCAAGTGAAAATATCGCAGCAAAAATACCGTGAATAAAACCATCGTGGAGAAAACAACGCAAGAGGAGAAACATCGTCCTACAAAAACATCGAGGGAGAAAAGAAAAAAAAGAGTAAACATCGCATTTATAAACTCATTATGGTAGAAAAACCTCGTGAAAAACAAATAAAGTGGTGCAGACAAAAGTAAAGCGGTGCAAAAATTTCGCAGTTTTAAAGCATCACCGTACAAAATATCGTGATTTAAAGTAAAGCACTTACAAATCATAGGATGATGATAGCATTGCATATACGAGTTTTCTAACAAAAAAAGTTCAATAAATTTTTGCATAATGATTTGAGAGCACAGAAGAAGTAATAGTTTTACCTCTACATTTCATGATTTTGCATTAACTTATACATACTGAAAAACAGAGACGGAAATTTAAGCATTCAAAATCTGGTAATTAGTGAAAATTAATTCTACGTAAGGCAGTTAATAGAATTTTAAACATACGCAGCTTCCTCTTTCTAATATGTTTTATATTTTTTTCTAAAAGTCAACAAATACATCTTTGTAAAAGAGCTTAATTTAATAAGGACATTTACTAGTCATGAAAGCTTCAAATTCTATTAATTGCTATACGTAACATTATTTTTTTATATATTACCAGATTTTGAATGATTAACTCCCTTTCTTCCTTTTTCTGTAAAAAAAAATGTTAGTTAATACAAAAATCTGAAGTATCTGAAGTCTTTTAGGAAAGATTCTCCATTAGTGTTTGGGCCGAGGTGGTATACAACTATTTAGTAGGATTTTTTATATAGTTTACTATTCACTTGAAAAGCCGCACGTATGTCATTTTTCTATCTGAATATCTTGCCAAACCTCTTCCTGGTGTTCCTCTAGCTCTTCATGCCCGAATGTGGATCCAGCATGACGGCACACCAGTTCCCTTCAGCAGTTAACTTCAGAAATTAACTCGACATTATTTATGGTCTCGAATAGATGCGACAGATTAGACCTATTCCTTCGTCCCAGTGGTCACCAGATTTGATATGCACGGAATTTTTCTGCTTGGGCTCATTAAGAACAAGACCCATGAAAGTCCTATTGAATGTATGATGAAGACCTAATTGTCTGTTGTCAGCTTTTGCTTGAAATATGCTTAAAACTCTTGAGGTCTTTGCTAATGTATGCCAAACCATACGCCGCTGCTATAATTCTCGCATTACTGGCCATACTTTTAAGCACCTATTATAAAATACTGAATCATTCAAATGTTTATTTCATTTGACTTTGTTTGCTTTTCTCACCTCCCTGCTGCTCATAACTTCCTCATGTCAACATTTACACTACCTATTTCAGCACACACATTATTTACAAAACAAAATGTTTTCATTTCGGTCCTTTCTAGCTAATTTTGCCAACATATAATACATTTAACAAATATTTGTAAGAGTTCAAACATCCCTCCAAAGCGCTGTTGTGATGTGAAAATCTGCGTAATAGATTTAGCATAATAGTATTTCTATATACATCAAATTACTTCAAAAATACTTCCTTCATTAATATTTGTAGCACATCATGAGAATTACAAGCAATATGGCAAATCAAATAACATACTTATTACTGTTAACCACCACTTCTTAATGCTCGAAATTCCGGTGCTCTGTAGTATACTGTTAAAAAAGAAACGTCTTATATACATTTCCATTTTCCAGGAAAACGTCTTTTCGCACAACGCCGTTGTAATTCACAGATACATTGCGTTTGCCAATTTATGGAGCCACATACTGTGAGCATGAGCACCACTATATGTACTTACTTCTGAATTTACGTGTGATTGCGAAATGCAACAACTTTGTTGTTTTGTTCACACGCTTCTTCATGCTAAAAAGCTTCGTTGCGGTCTACATTAGGGTATCTGATAGCTTTCCTTGTTATGACAGTGAAGACTTTCCCCCGTGCACTTTTACACTGATATCTGTCTTTTTCCTGCAATTATCAATAGTCCTCTTCACCTCGGTTGGTAGAGCTTAATGTTTTGCTGTCTTGTTTTATATTCTTATAAAACCTCATTATGAAACTGTGCTTCTAATAGTAAATAAAATGTAACAGCCAGGCAATCACAGAAGGAAATCTAATGAAATTAGCATTTCTAATCATATGAAATGATCAAAAGCTATACACATATGCGCATTTTTCATCAGCAAAACTGATGTGAGAAACACTGAAATAATGTTCATGTTTAAAATCTTAATAATCTTGTTTTCTTCCAGTCTTTATCGTCTGATGGACACAGGCAAAATTCAGGATTGCCTCTATTGTATGTATAGAGAATTTCCTCTACTGTCTATTGTATTTTTCTATTGTAAAGAGAATCCTTGTCAGATTCAAGAGCTTCCTCTACTGTATAGAGGGGTAGGGGCAAATCGCAACTCGTCCTTTTGGGAATACTTTGATAAATGTAGAAATTCTGTTGATTCATCAATTTTAAATAAGCACTGAAATTTACATTTATCGAAGGATAAAGGATGTGTAATAAATAGAAAAGTGTTTGTCGGATATTTTTTGCTTCTTCGAGCCGATTCCTGGTTTTTTTTTTTTTTTTTTTTTTTTTTTTTTTAGTTCCGTTCCGTTATAAACATAAAATCTATCTACATTTTCGCATTGTTTCAACCAAAATTTTCCTTTTTCACTGATTCTCCTTTTTCACTCTCCCTTTTCACTGATTTCTGACATCCAAATTGCTTATAAAGGAGTCCATTAACCACAATAAAAATAAAATATTTCTAAACCTATTATGATGCCTATCAATAATCTAGTGATTAAAACTAGTAAACGGTAGCAATTTTTTCCAGATTAGACGCCTCTCAGAAGCAGTTTGTCACACCGGTCTTTACGCAGTTTTGGCTGCATTGTATGTAAAAACAAGCCTATTAGCTTTATCAAAATTTGTACAAAGACATCTATCCTAAGGTAGATAGTACTTGTATACTTTGTCGTAATTAAATACGTATTGTAACCTAAAATGAGGGTTGTAATGAATTGTCCTTTTTTGAGGGGGTCTTTTTTTTTTTTTTTTTTTCCGAACGATCATCAAACCCCTAGGCGTTCTCAAAGTTTTATGATAATGTCGTTCATTAAATAATATTAAAAATTTTAATGTTTCGGATGGGTTTATAAAGGACTGGAGTATTTTATTACAGAAAACTATGCAAGGAATTATAGGTTGGATAATGTGCCTTTGGAGAGGAGGTTTAAGAGGAGCTAGGTTTTATATACTTGTATATTGCATATGAGGAAAATTACGATTCCCTCATACAGCCATCACATTCCACCTATGAGAATGGAACGGGGAAGAACTACTCAAGTCTGCATGTTTACCGGTGGCCACATTACTGTATCATTTAACTGATAACTAAAGATATTTAAATGAAAGGAAACTTTATTGCTATTTTATTCAACTGAATGGGAATGGGAGCTGATGAGCTTCACAATGAATAAAAAGGAATTAGGAAGCCTAAGATGGCAGTTTCTGTAACTCAGTCAGTTTAACGCTTGAAGTCATCAAGAAACTGAGAAATTTCTGGCCAAATCCTTATGTTCCATTGTATTATAAATAAACCATGAGTGTCAGTTGAGATACAGACAGATGTCATATAATATGTTTGTATTTTTTTATTTTCTAAGATATTGTATGTTAAATTAAATTATATTTTATTCATTTAATGGTGTAGGTATAGTTATTTTCAACTCAATTGATTTCATGCAGTACGTACACAGGTCCTTAAAGTCGTGTACACATAGACATACATCCATATAATCCGAGTTTTTATTTTTGCAGAATTTTATAAATGATTGGCTTTACTCATATTTAGGTATTTTATTCATTCTTTACTTAAAACTATTTTATAGGTGTAATCATTTTCGGATCAGATCAGGAAGTTGCAGGTGTAATGAGAGCTGTAAGAAGAAATAATGCTACAGGGATCTTTTCCTGGATAGGAAGTGATGGTTGGAGTGCACGAGCATTAGTCTATGAAACAAATGAAAAGCAAGTAGAAGGCACACTTTCTGTGCAGCCAAGAGCTCATCCTGTTCCAGGGTTTGAAGAGTATTTCTTGGGTCTCACTGTGGAGAACAACACAAGGAATCCATGGTTTACGGAGTTTTGGGAGCATTTATTTAAATGCAAATGGCCCAATAGTACAGTAACACCCTATAACCAGTGGGAAAATTTGTGCACGGGAAATGAAGTTATGTCGACTGTCAAAGGGTATGAAGCAGAGAGACAGCTTCAGTTTGTTAGCGATGCGGTACTGGCTTTCGCATATGCGCTGAAAGCATATCATCAAGATACATGCAAGGGAGAGTATGGAATTTGCGAGGAAATGAAGCCTATCAATGGATCTAAATTGCTCTCTTTTTTAAAAAAGGTTTCGTTTAAAGGTACGTATAGCACTTAAAATTTTTACACGTTATTCTACTCTGCTTTCTTGTGAGAATTATTTTAATTATTTTTGTTTTTCTTAAAGAAAAAAAATTGAGTTTTTTTTTAAATATCTAGTTACTCTTTATGAAATTAATGCATATTCATTTCCAAAAAACACTTAATATTGTTGCGTGCGTACGGGTTCGTTATGAAATTAATGCACAAGTCCGATGCAAAATGAACAAAAATTTATTATGATCACAACAAAAATGCTTAAATCTTCTCAAATTATCATGCAGTATTACAATATCTCACAGTAGTTATCTTTTAACTACTCAAATGTCCAATAGAACGTAATTCAAAACAGCTAAAGAAATCTAATCCGCGAATTCGCTACAATCAACAAGAGCAGTTTTCTAAACAACAACAAACTAAGCAACTACTACAAACTGAGATGTTTTCCTCCTTTTATAACATTTTAAAATCACGCGCTAGAATTTTCCAGTACTTTCTCGAAATGAAAAAGAGTTATTTATTTATTTAATGCACGCGCTCTTGTATTTTCAATTTTCCAGCTTAGCTATCTTTTAATATTCGTCACGCGCTGCACTGCGCGAGAAATAAAACCATTTAATTTATAATTGAACTAACATTAGCTTTTTAAATACCAAATTCGTAACAATATCTTCTCTTGGCAAAAGTTCCGTTTTATCAAAGTAATAGGAAATAGTGTAAAAATTCCTCAGATCATATACGTTTTGAATTCACCAATCTTATGTATTCAATTTTTAACAATTTATGCTTCATAAATTATACTTATGAACACATAAATGTAACTTTAAAGATTATCCCTACTGTAATTTGGAAAAAGATCAAATTACAATATAATCATACTTTATTTTTCCTTATGACGATATTTTATAAAGACAAATAATAGAATATTTTATCATTTTTTAGCATTTATTTGCTGTAAAGTTTTAAAATTTTTATGCATTGAGCTATTTTAATTCAAGAAATGAGCAGATAAATTTATAAAGCATTTACTGTTTATATAATAATAAAAGTAATTTGTGTAACTATTTTATGCAGGAGAGAATATTTTCAAGTTTCTCGGAGAAAACGCATATTCATGTTATACTTTCATTCGCTTTAAGGGTAAAAAATAGCAATATTTATACTTTTAGTTATATAGAGCGGAAGTGAAAGACGTAAGGTTAAATTTCAGCCAGATCAAATAATTAATAATATATTATAATAATTAATAAATAATTAATAATAAGATTAGCACATGTACTCTCTTCGTTAATCTTTCCCTAACTTTAAATGTTCTACTATCTGTTTCCTAAAAGTAAGAAATGTGTTAGGCATAAAACAATCAGACTGCTACAAAATTCTTTTCAATATGTGAATAACAGTAGAACCTTTTAATTCAAATAAATGTTCAGATAGTCTTTATCAAGAAGATCCTCTATGGTTCTAGTTGATTTTGATTTTGAAGGTGAACGTTTTATAGAGATGATGTTTACTAACAAAGGATATTTATGTTCTAAGAAATTGTGGTCACTCCCATAGAGTATAGTGTACATTGTATTTATTTAGTGTACATTGTATTATTGTATCACATTAATTATAATACAAGTAATAATTGACAAAAGAATACTTTTATTTTTTGACATAATGATTGCTTTTTCCCGAATGGGCAGCAATATTTTTACTTAGATTTTTGAAAGATTTACGAATTTCGCCAAAGGCCTTGATTCATCGTTTTCCTAGATTACTGAAACACTATTTAGTATGAAATTTATTGCTTGCAATATATACCCAGCTTGTTTTCAGCAAACCTGTAAAGCTGTACCTCAATAATAAAACATTCACAATAGCCTCTATATGTTAATGCTTGATGTTTTACAAATATTTATTTTAATATAACTTAGTATGAATCCCTAGCTGACAATTCATCAAGAATATGAAATAAATGAATAAATAAACAAAAAGTAGGGAAAAAAACGTAAATGATTAGGATTGCAAAGGAAGTTAACTATTTTCTAAAAATGAATATCATTTATAGGTTAACTGCCAAATCTTGATTCAAAGTTAATCAAATGTTAGGAAACTGATCGTTATGGAATGTTTTCTTTTACGACATACTAATCATTTGGAGTAATCAATTAGAGTCCCGTCAAATCTTCCTTTACATGCACTGATTAATCCTTCATCTGACTAATTCCAAATTGTGTCAAATTCGGTATGAAATTATTACATAAAAAGTATTGCAAGTTACCTGAAACAAATTTAAAAATACCAAAAGAAATTGTACAATACCGAGTTAAAATACATCTTGGTAAAAATGTGAATTATTTTAATAGATCTTTTTGTTTAAATATACTGGCGGTTATAAAACAACTTTCTCTGTTTGAAGGCTTCTGCAGTTAAAACTAATGACCAGATTGAAACCATATTTCATACACAGACATCCAAGAAAACACAAGGACTTCCACAAAAACATAAACGAGATTTAATGTCAGAAGTCGCCGATAGGAGAGATTTTGGTGCTGTCGAAACCGAAATCTGGTCAATAATTACAATAAATGAACGGAAAATGGATTACGCAAAATGTCACTAATGTTTCAATAATAAAACAGGCACATATAGAAATAAATATCATATAGTACAAGCCACAGAAAATAACCTTTTATTAACCAACATTAGGATCTCGGACCACGTGATAAATTTTGGATGTACTGACCTTCCATATGTGCAAGATATCGCATCCGATAAACTACGTTCTCTACTCCTGCTCGTAAATTATCAGTTTTGATGTTTATAAAAGCTCCCATCTTATGCTCTCTCTTAAGGCACTCAGGCTTGTAATGCTGATCGTATACACGACAGATTTAAGGCTACCCCACAGTCACAAGTTTACATGGGGTCAGCCGGGAACAAGGCGGCCATTCCGTCAGAAAATATCTGCCGATAACCTCCCATTACCGAAAGGTTGCAGTTAAAGTTTTTGCACGGAACGAAGAATATATAGCCGTGCTCTACCTTGTATAAAAACTGTCGAGTCCAAACGCAGTCTGTGCTGCAATTCAAGAACGAAAAATGTTTTCGGATCTGCTTGTACATCTCACCAGTAACGGTGCAAGTAACAGAATTTGTAGGAGTGATATTCTGACAAAGCATAGAGCTATTTTGAAATCGGCCGTAAATTCTACATTTGTGAATACTGACGTACCATTCAGGTGAAAATGAACCTCATCTCTCAGCAATATTTTTCAATAACTGTCGATTTTCATTCGGGCAAAAACCTTTGCGAAAATCAGACTTATATCATAATCTGTCCGAACTTGGACCTCTAGAATACGCACCGAGTATGCTACTGTTACACTACGAAGGCGTGCTGGAAGATGGACGAGAATACCTTATAACATATTTATATGAGTTGAACATTCGGCATTGACCTCCTGTTAAGGTTTAAATTAATCTCTTCATTGTTAACTTTAATAAGTGATGTTCAGGTTTTGGAAATGTTTGTTCAGCAATTGATGAATATTTTACTTTCTTTATTTGCGGTAATAAATAATTTAATTTAATTATGAATATCTTGACTTTTGTGCAACTATTTTTAAATAAGTGAAGTTGGTTGGTGATAATGTCAAAACATTATTCTATGTTTTGATGTTTAATTGATGAGATGTTTGATTTCCAGTTAATAATTTTAACAATTTTAAAATTCAATAATCTTTCTATTGTCAAATAACATAATTTGTTTTCTTTTACAATGCGATGAAATAATCAGCTTATTTCATTGTCGCTAGTATTACTTAGTCGTTTGAGGAAAATTATGCTTTTTCGATAATTCCTTCGTTATTGAAAGTAATAATAACATCTGTGTATCAATAAGTAAATCGAAATTTTTCTTTAATAGAGGCTTCGTGAGTTAGCATAAAAGTCTACTCTTTCACAAATAACTATGAGTTGCAAATGGCGGAGTAGTACTTTCTCCCCGTTAAAATTTATTGGTATATTTCAATTTTGATTACAGTTACTAAAATGCGTGGAATTAAGAATCGTGATCCATTTATCATGTCTAATCATTCTTTAAAGCAAGAAATGTTTCGTGTAATATAATTAGCAGGTCCCATATTTGATGACCCAAACATTTCTCTGAAAATGTTCCTAAAAACGGCCAGGAAATGCAATTAAAACGGAAAAAATGACCTAAATAATTTAAAAGTCCCCCAAAAGTAAAAATTAATAATATAAAAAATGACGCAATTGACAAACATTGACAAATCAATTAAAACTCAAACAATTATACGTACCTTTCACTCGAGTTTTGTCTTCGGAATTTTCAACTTTACACAAATGCATTGCAATTACATTGAATTATTAAGTGCTTTTGGATATTTTCGAAAGTGAAAGATCTTCTCTTGCCAATACATAACCTTTTATATGGTGAGAAGTTTCTCTCGGCATCTACTGCAGTTATTAGAGCACACTTAAAGAAAACTGCATGACTTATCATTAACACTTCTTCAGGTTCAAATAGGGCGCTGTTCCAGTTAAGATGAGGGACATTTTCCACATAGCTTGGACGCCACAGTATTTTTTATTCAAAAACAGTGTTGAATTTAGCAAATGCATGTTTGAAACTTTGCCTTCCGTCTTTTTAAAACATAGCCTAATTTATCAGTGTGATTTTTTGCATCAACAAGTTCCATGATTTGCTGTTATAAAGGATTTAATTGTTGAAATGATGATCCCTGA